GAAATAAACATTTGAAATATATGAGTTTGTATGTAATGTATGAATATAATATACAAGTTTCACTTTTTAAATGGAATTACTGAAATAAATCTACTTTTTCATGATATTCTAATTTTATGACCAGCACCTGTATGTCAAGTTGTACAGAGTGTCTGTAAGTTACATAGTTCCCCCCATTTTGCATGATTATAGATGTAAARAGAAAATCTCATTAATCTTTACCAAAAACTTTATTTCAAACTGATTTCAGTGTCAGAACCAATAAATCATGTCTTCCACCTCCTCAACCTTCCTCCTCTGCTGCTGTGTACTGCTGTGTATWCTGTACTGTTAAACATTTTAAAGTATTTATCAGTACTCACATGATCATACAGAGCCATCTTGAAGTTTTGAAAGAAGTAATGTTTCTTTGCTTCTTCTTCTGTCATGCTCATGTAAGCTGTTTTAGCTTYATAACCAAACTTCATAAATTCTTCATTTTCATTAAAGAGGATGCAGGTTGGCATCTTTGGGGTGTTCAGTTCTTTTTCCCATCTTTTAATAACAGAATGACTTTCTGTCCCTCTGGGTGTGAGACTGGAGGCGTATCCACTGTATGATGTTCCAAAGTCTATGGCTATTACATGTGAGCCACCTAATTCAGGAGAGAAWTCATCAAAATATAACTAAGTACCATCTTACAGAACAATTTTATTTTACAAAATTTTAAACATTTATAACCTTAACTTCACATTTTCCTGTTTGTATGTTATATTGCAGTTCTTATATTGTATGTGACTTGCATGTTGACCTGCTGACCTTGTTCCTCTCTTCCACCTGTCCTCACATTTCATCTTTACCTCCTGGTTTCACTTTAACTCAAATGAACCTTTAAACTGATTCTGTCAGTTTCTGGAGACTCACAGATTTATATCTGATTATATTATTAGTGAGTTCATTTAATACTATTTCTATTGGTTGATAAAAAGGGGGTGAAGGAGGCCCGCAGGGTGGTGCTGGGGGTTAAGATTATTTATCTGTGAGTCTGACAACAAAGGGGGGTGCCATTAAGTGGTAAGTATGCAAACATTTATATCAGGGATTAAAAAAATCATAGTGTGAATGAATTTAAGTATATTGTAGGTTTTTTGGATTTAAAACATACTTACAAGAAACATTTTTTTTTAAAAATGACACAAACTGTTAGATATACCCCAACAGTTATAACAGTTAGATATAACCCAACAGTTATAAGAGTTAGATATAACCCAACAGTTATAAGAGTTAGATATAACCCAACAGTTATAAGAGTTAGATATAACCCAACAGTTAGAACAGTTAGATATAACCCAACAGTTAGAACAGTTAGATATAACCCAACAGTTAGAACAGTTAGATATAACCCAACAGTTAGAACAGTTAGATATAACCCAA